GGCTCCAGGCAGGTCTCCCTCATGCATGAGTAACACGAAGAACTTTGCCTACTTGGTGTTCAATGCTTTTGCTGTGTAATTATATTGTCTTCAACGTTCCAGCGAATAGGTTCAAGCTACAAACCTATCAAGGTACACCCATAAAGGTGATTCTGATGCCACACAGAGTCACGTCAAGAGGTCGTCTGACTGCTCTCTCTCTCCCACCTGCTCCTGTGTTTCTGTGGCCACGCCCTCTGACCTCTCCTTCCTCCTCCTTCTCCTCCTCCTCAGCACCAGCAGCAGCAGGACGGCAGCGAGCAGCAGGAAGACCAGAGGCGAGATGGAATGAACTCTGTGAGAGTACGATGACTCCGCCCTCCAGTTTACCCTCAGCCGGTTGTCCAGGCTCAGGTGAGACGCCTCACAGGTGTAGTTGTGTTTCCTCTGCAGCTCCTTTTCGTCGACCATCAATGTCTTCCTCACTTGGTAGAGGCCGTTCCCATTGGGCAGCACCGAGCCGATGCGCAGCTCGCCTTCGTCCACGGGCTGGCCGTCCCGCAGCAGGCTCAGGTTAATGTGGCGAGGGTAGAAGTCAGTGGCCAGGCAGGTGACCTGAGCCCCGCCCACCACTTGCCTGGTGATAAAGCGGAGTCGAGGCTTCACCCTTCGCATCACAAGGTGCTTCTCGCGCTCCAGGAAGTGTTGGAGCGTCCGCACACAGAACGGTAGATATATGTTTGAATACAGCATCTGGAAGGATGTTTTCTTTAGGGCGTCCCACTGGATCTCCCAGCCTTCCCTGACAGCATACGTGAAGTGGGTCATGTTGTAGAGGAGGCTGTCGGCGTCCTGCCCGTTGGAGCCGTCTCTGAACATGATGAGTGCCGGCTGGCCGTCCTCCAGTACCTCGCAGCCCGTTACCCTCTGCTGGACATGAACGCCATCGATGGTCAGGTTAAAGCGATGCTTCACCAGATTCAGCCTCTTCTTCATGCTGGAGTAAATGTCTCGTAGCACAGTCACGGGCTCCTGGCCCAGGTTGAGTTCCGCTTCGTGGTCAGATGTCGTGCTCGCCCTCATCACCCGGTCGACCTTTGAGTCATAGTATCCCACCTGGATGTCATCCAACATCAGAACAACAGTGAACTCTGGGAAGTGGGCAGAGCCTGGGATGTAGGAGGCAAGCGCCCAGAGGGAGTGTCGTCCTGTGCCTGATGGAACAAATTTACAACAATGTTACTTAAAATAACGTAAAACTTCAGGCTAATGTTCCCAAAGCTCCCGACCTCTGGGCTCTACCCTTCCCCACTACTGGCTCCTGCTGAACCCGATTATCATGCCATTGGCTGAGGTCGGAGTCCTGCAACCAGTGGCTGCTCTCCGTGGCCTGTGTAAGCACAGTGGTTGTTGTGTTGGTGTGTTAGCCTTGTTTGAGACATTTCATCCCAGAAGCGTGTTCAGTTCTAAAACCAAATGGTAAAAAGTCCCAGGTGCTTCATGTGCTTCATCACATGAACCATTGTAAAAAAAAACAAAAGCATGTAGGTCATTATCAGGTTTTGGGTGAAACCATTGTTTCACTCTATATCACAGGTGTCAAACTCCAGGCCTCGAGGGCCGGTGTCCTGCAGGTTTTAGATCTCACCCTGGGTCAACACACCTGAATCAAATGGTTAGTTCATTAGCAGGCATCTGGAGAACTTCAAGACATGTTGAGGAGGTAATTTAGCCATTTGAATCAGCTGTGTTGGATCAAGGACACATCTAAAACCTGCAGGACACCGGCCCTCGAGGCCTGGAGTTCGACACCTGTGATGTAGGTCATTATCAGGTTTTGGGTGAAACCATTGTTTCACTCTATATCACAGGTGTCAAACTCCTGGGCCCTGTTTCAGGAAGCCGGTTTAGTGCAAACTCTGAGTAAGTATACCCTGAGTTAACGAAAACTCTGGGTTTTCGGTTTCACAAAGCGAGTTTAGATTAATTCTGAGTGAGTTACTATGACGACACACTCCGTGAAGCTAACCTGCCCCCTAGCAGGTT